AGGGTGCCCTGTTTTCGGAAACTCCCATATCAAAGCGGTAAAGTAGCCGGAAAGGAAGAAGCCTTGCTCGAGCAGTTCAAGGATCTTTTCCAGATTACCATGATAAATTCCACAGATCTTATCGTAGCTTAACATGGACTTCTGGAAGATTATAGCTATTATATACCCATTACTAGGATACCCAGTAACCTAAGAATAAAAAGGCCTCTCTTTTTGGTATTGGGTAACTTTATAAGGAACCTAGGACTACAAAAAGGGAATAAGGGTACTGGGCATCCTAGATTATATAGCCCATTCTAGGGTAGGGGTATGGCACGTTACTATCGCGTACGTTCTCCACTGAGTTTCGAGGCTCGGCTTTCTTCGGGAGGGTGGTTGCATTCAGGCTTTTTCGGCCACGGCTTGATTTTTTTTGAGGATGAGGGAATTCAGCAAGTAGCTTATGATGTCGGGGTTGTCCTGCCTTAAGCAGTATTGCTATACCGAATTTCCCACAAATCCCGTCAGCCGACTGCCCTCATAACCCCAAAAAACCAGCTGCCGGGACTACGTGTACCGTGAGCCTAAACCCTCAACCTCTAGAATCCCAAAAAGCGAGCCCTCTTAGATCACTTGTGGAACCGTAAAGCTCGCAAAAGCCAAGCCTAAACAACTTCTAAGGTCCGGCTTTAGGGTTTTGAGTTACTAGTTTCAAGACTTAGTTGGGTGTTTCAATGGTTTTGAAAAAACTGAGGCGCAAAAGAAGTAAGCCTCCACCCGGCAACCAGGGCCCTCTCCGCCCCTCTGCCAGCAAAAGCAAAGATCTTGTCCCTGATGGGAACTAAAGGTTAACCTTTTGGGTTGTATAGGGATGATATAGGGACTATACTACCTCAAGAAGGTTAAAGGTTACCTACTCAACTACTAGGCAGTGAACCCGTGAAGGCCCTGATCTACAAACCCTCAGCCCTGTAGGCGCTAAACCCCTAAAACACAAACCCTAAGGCCTATAGACCCTAAACCCCAAGGCCTATAGACCCTAAACCCTCAGGCCTATAGACCCTAAACCCCTAACCCTCCCGTCCTAAACCTCTAAAACCCTGATTGTCAGAGCCTTCTTCGCCGGCTTCCCGAAGCCTTCGAAACATTGATGGCAGTTGCCCATGCCGTTGCCCATGGCTGGCGCTCCTCTAAGCGATCCTTTAAGGTGCCTTTGATGGTGCCCCTATAGTAAGCCTTGTAGCAACCTTGGTTGTGGCCCTTGTACTGCTTATAAATCTAACCCTTACGGCTTGTCCGTGTGTTAAGATGTCCCTGGAACTCGCAAGGCATGGTGCTAGAAAACTTTCACTCGGTTAGAACTGTAGGCGACAACATGGAATCCTAAACCCACAACCCTAAGTCAGCTCCATAGACATCTCGGGCGAAGTCCGTGCCCCAAGCCATTACGCATCCCTTACGCATCCTAAGCCCGTGCACCAGATATCAGAGATGCCTGCATTGAGTAACCTTTTCGGTGCTTAAGCCAACTGCCATGACGGTGTCTCCAACTTCAGCAAAGCTCACGGAAGATCCTCCGGCGAGTTTAGGGTTTAGGGTCTATGGCTTGGGGTTTTGGGGCTTACTTGGAGGCTCATGGGACTTAGTAAGTAAGGTTTTAAGTAGGTTTTAATTAGGATAACCCCACTTTGGGGACTTATAACCCCAATTATAACCCACTTGCTAAGTCCCCTGATCCTCCAAGTAGACCCTAAACCCTAAACCCTATAGATCCCTTTAAGGAACCCTCTAGATCCCTATAAGGACCCCAAGTAGGGTATAAGGCCTAGAGCCTCAAGCTTAAATCCGAACAACTCAATCCAAGCTCCCATAGAAACTGAAGGCTGTAAAGCCTTGGAGTCTATGTTTTGCTGCAGGCTTTGTAGGGTTTGAGTTTTAGGGCTTCTTTTTGAAGTCAGGTGCTCTGCCAACTTTAGGGCTTAGCGTCTAGTGCTACAGGTTTGGAGTTTGAGGCTTCGAGTCGGCCAGGGTTTCAGGGTTTAGGATTTGGGGCTTTACGGTTTTGGGGCTTTAGGATTTTAGGGTTTAGGGTTGAGGGTTAGGGTTTAGGGGTTTAGGGTTTCGGGATTGAGTTCTAGACGATGCTCCCCTTAAGCATATGATTTGAAAACGATTCGCCAGCTGGCAGCTTGTTCATAAACCCCAATATGGCTACGAAGCCCCATCAAAACCTCCACGCAATGCCAAACTCTGAACCCTACACACCCTGTGACATGTGGAACCTGCGCACTCTAAATACTACCCCCCCCCGATGACAGACTCTAATGCTACCCTATTGGCTCTTCGATCCCTCGACATGCTCAGACATATACGTTTTAGCCTCATAAACAACCCCATCAGACCCTATGATCAAGGCACCCTTAATCCTGCTCTACATCCTGAGAACTAAGAGCCCCGTCTTAAGCAAGCACCCGGATATTGCGAGACCTCCAGGTAAAGGCTCGTCACAAAGCTCTGTAGCTGTTTAGGGGTTCACTGAAGGAGTTTTAACTTAGATACTACGGGACTTCTTCTTCTTCTGCCCTAGGGAACACGCCGCAGATGGGAGTTTCCGAAAATAAGGGAGGGACCCTAATATAGTACCCAAATAGTGGGATCCTTATACACAATAAGGACCCCCAAATAAATAGGGTACCCCCAATTTTGGGTCCATGGGTATCGGGCTCAGTCTCAGTCTTAAGGCTTGTCGGTCGAGGGGGTGCAAGCGGTTTAGGGTTTAGGGGTTTAGGTTTTTTTTTTTGGGGGGGGGTTAGGGTTCAGGGGTTTAGGGTTTAGGGGTTTAGGGTTTAGGGGTTTAGGGATTTAGGGTTTTGGGGTTAGGTTTAAAGGGTTCAAGCCCTAGTGGCTTCAGGGTGGTGGGCTCGATATGTGGCGCGCGCGTTTTTTTAATTAAGACGGTATTCCAAAACGGTATGCATTAAAACTATGCCCGACTGCAAGGTGTGTGCAACCACCTCCTCAGGTGGTGGAAGATCAGCAGACGCAGGGGGCTTCCTAGCTACAATTCCTCGCTTGCGGTCCTTGCCAAAAAGCACACCAACGGAATAGGAATAATACAATCCCAAGTAACATCCTATGCTACAACCCCAAACCTTGTTGAATTTCATAAGGCTCCAAAAACGCCTTGCAAACCCGAATATTCCAACGATGGAAGCCTGATAAGAACCCCCGAAACAACCCTTTCTTTGGGCGTCTACACAAAGCCCCGACGAGGGTTTAGATTCTTTTACTTGTTCATGCACGGGTTCTACACAACAACTAATACTGGGAGTCTTCCCAGCGTTACAGATCAGAATAGGGTTGCGTGGAATATACTAATGTAAATGTCATGAGAACCCGAAAGGATAATGTTGGTAATTATTCAAGCGCCGATAGTAGCATCTTACCCCCAGCCTACTCAACCCTACTTTCAGGTTCATGGGTGGCTACAGATAAGGTTTAGGGTTTCGGGTTTAGGGTTCTGGGCTCATTTTAAACTACCTTTGTCGGACACGATACCCTTATTTGTAACCCCTTGCTTCACTCCTACAGATGCTCCCGAAGCAATGCCTGCCAACACCCTACAGACAAACCACACCTCTCACTACCTTCGTTGTTACCCTAAGCTCTAAGCCCCAAGCCCCGAACCCGAAACCTAGACCCAGCAAAAGGGTAAACTCTGAAGTCCTATACACCTTAAATCCCAAACTTTGATCACTGAACCAGAAGACCCTCAGCCCTACACCACAAACCCCTTTAAAGCCCTCCACACCCTAACCCCGAAACAAACGCATAGAACGCGTAAACCCAAACCCTCAAATCTTACGAAGTGTAACGACCGCTGCGAAGATTACGGAGAGTGCCAAGACAAGTTGGCGAAAGCTTCGCAAGTGCTTTGGCTGCTCCATGACTCCGGCAACTTGGTGTGAGGCCCCTTCACAGAATGTAGCTCACTTAACGATATGCGTCGCTGCTTTAGCTCAACGGCTACCATTACCTGAAATGAATGTGGTCGCAACGCACAGAAAGATAATATCAGTTGATGGCTCGTCAGAAGGAATCCTTTGAGAGCAGCCCTGGGCACGATGCGTGAAAAACTGGCTCTGGCCAGAAGCTTTGCTCCACGGTAACAGAACTACGGTTTCAGGGTTTAGGATAGCGCATACCTGAAAAAACATCTCCCCTCATGACCATACAAACTGCATTTCCGCGATCTTCCCGCTCCTGGTGGTTGAGGATTTAAGGTTGGGTCTGGCCCCCACTCTGTAAGAGTTAAAACTATGTATACTATACTTCTAGATAGACCCGATCATAGACTGATACAGTGAAAGTTAGGAGCAGTGCCCAAGCGTACGGCGGCAGCACGGCTTGTCAGCAAAAGATTCGTGGTTTGCTTACCCGACAATTTGTGCAGCACTTCCGGTTCGTGGCTTCGGACCGAGTCCCTAAACCGCAAACCCTAAACCCTAAATCCTACACCGCAAACCCTAAACCCCAACCTCAAAACCCTGAACCCTGACCTTTCAATGGCGTGGAATGGGATGCCAAGTTGCCCTCAAAAAAGCGACCTTTCGGTTAGGGGGTGAGGGCGAAAAGCTCGGGGTTCGGGGTTTAAACCAGGGTTAGGGTTTAGGGTTTAGGGTTTAGGGTTTAGGGGTTTAGGGGTTTAGGGGTTTAGGGGTTTAGGGTTCGGGTTTAGGGTTTACCGATCAGGCCGTAGGGCTTAGGGTTTCGGGCTACTGAACCTCATCTTGCAACCATGAACTCCTCACCCCTCAGCCATGTGACAGCCTTGTACTAGCCCTGTAGACCCCTAAAAGCCCTTTGATGCGCCATACAATCCACACAAGCCCCTAACTAAGGCCTTGCGGAATGCGAAAAGAGCCCTAGAAGACAAGTTTTCAACCCATCGAACCCTATAAAGCCTACCCAAGCCTATCAAAGCCACCAAACCCCCAGCCCCCAACAAAAGTGCAGCCTTGTCAGCTGTGACTGCGTGACCGGGTGGCTCTGTCCTCGATACTACGGCTACTTGGTACCACGGCTGGTTGGTTCTGAGGCTTTAATATCCGGTTTTAGAGTTTAGAGCTCAAGTAAAGCTTGAATATAAGGCTCTTACATCGGGTTACATGGGATCTCTATATGGTTGTTGAGGTCGTATGGTCGTATAGGAGCATTATAGGGGTACCGTAAGGGTTCTATGAAGGTACTTTGAAGGTAGCAATAAAACTCTCGATGCAGCTGCTACAAGGTCGGTACAGGGTTTCATACGGCTCAAAGCTTTACACAGGGTTTACGGTGTTTAAAGGTTACTATAGGGGCCTTAATATACAATTAGAATAGGGTTTTGGGGCCCAACTGTACGATAGTTTCAAGAAGGAACCCCCAAAAAACTGCTGATGGACAAAATCCTGCATGACCCGTTATAAGGAATATACCATAGTTCCCATAGTTTAGAGTCCTTACAATCATGCAGGATTTTGTCCATCAGCAGTAGTATAGGTAATTATTATGACCCCTCTACTACACCCTTATAATAACCCTTATAGAACCCTTGTAAAGGAACCCCATTAAACGGAACCCTGAAGTAGGGGTAATTATGATGACCCCTCTGTTAAGTGAGGTTGAGCTCTGAGGATCGTTTTAAGTTTGACAGGGTGTTGTGTGGGCTGCGGAGGTCGCGTTGCAGTGTTGCAGGGCTTCATAGGATTCTATGGCATGTTTTTCGAGAGGGGGTGGAGTATGGGGCTTGGCGTCGCGGGTTTAAGGCTCAACTTGGGGCGGAACCCAACCTGTAAACCCCTCTCAACAACTTTTGCAAGCATCAAGTGACCCGTCATGGAGGCCTAAACGTGCAAACCCTGAGACCTAAATGGCTTGGGCGCAAACCCCCTATTTCCTCAGCCCTCCCATAGAAAGCCTCAGGAGCTCAGATCCCATCCTAGAAATCCCTGGCAAAAACCCAATCAACCCCTTAAATCCTTAACACTAACCACTAGAGAAACCCTACAAGAGCCCGATTAATCTCCCAAAAAAAAACCCTAAACACCCTCATAAACAATCACCCCGGAAACCGACAGAAACACAACCCTAAACCCTAAAACCTAAACCCAACGGCCTAAAACCCAAAAACCTAAAGCCGAAAACCAGAAATCTAAACCCTACACCCTAAAACCTAAACTCTAAACCCTACACCCTTAAGGGGAAGACCCCTTCCGGATCCTCGGGAGGCTCCGTGTTCAGCAGCGAGCGGACGGAGGCTTCGCTCTCCTCCGACCTCGGGGTTTTATGGGGCTTTAGGAGGGGCTTCAGGGGCTTTTAGGGTTTAGGGTTTAGGGGTTTAGGGTTTAGGGGTTTAGGGTTTAGGGGGCTTTATGGGGCTTTAGGGGCTTTGTGGGTTTAGGGCTTAGGAGCTTGCCGGGCTGTAGGGGCCTTTGTGGATTTAGGTTTTTCGGGTTTAGGGCTTTGGATCCAGAGAGTGTTACCTCGTCGTTTAGAAGGGTGTAGACGGTTTTTGTGAACTTTTACAGGGCGTTGTGTCGTTTGTGGTGGGTTAAAACGGGTTTAGGGTTTAGGGCTGTAGGATGGCTTAGAGCACAGGGTTTAGGGCTTTAAAGATATTCAGGGTTGAGGGCTTAGGGCTTAGGTTGGTAGCTCTTGTCAGGATACCTTGAGGGTTTTACAAGGTTCTATGTAAGGGTTTAGCGTCTGCTCGCGATGTATAGGGGCCTGTAATAAGTTACATATATATATATATATACATATATATATATATATATGGGCCTTGGGGTTTAGGATCTAGCTTCCGACCGGATTTTTAGAGCTTCGGACTATCGGATCTCTAGTTAAGCCTTCAGGGTTTGGGGTTCAGGATCTATAGGGATTCTTCAAGGTTGTTACAAGCATGTGGGAAAAGGTCCACGAAGCACTGAGCTTCTGGCAGGAGGCTTTGAGTTAACCTCGCCCCTAAAAGAATCAAAGAACCAAAACACAGGGTCCCCTGCGAGGTATAAGCCCCTGAGCTCAAAAGATACCGAAGCCCTGAGCCGCCCGCGAACATCGAAACCCTGGGCATACTCGTGCGAGATACATTGCAGCTTACTTGTGCACTGGGCCGGCAGGGATGGATGAATACAGGAGGGCAGGGAGAGGTAAATCGATGCCCTGAAACCTAGCACTCTACACCGAGAGGGTTGAGAAGAATCAAGTCGAAAAGACACCTGCTCTGCAGAGTGCTTGCAGGGGTGGGCACAACAAAGCTTCTCTGCGGGATGCTGGGATGGGCACTACTCAGCCCAACCTCCCACGCAAACTCAACCAAACCCAAAACCCTAAGCAAAAGCCAAACCCCACACCCTAAACTCAAACCCAAAAGCCCTTAACTACAAAACCTTCTAGTACCTTCATAATCAGTAGATCCCTGATACTTAAAGGCTCATGGGACTTAGTAAGTAAGGTTATAAGTAGGTTATAATTAGGAGAACCCCACTTATGGGACTTACAACCCCAATTATAACCTACGTACTAAGTCCCATGATCCTCTAAGTAGGGAACCGCTACTGGTATAGCTCTTTGAAAGGAGCCCTAGAGCCCTAAAACTAGGGACCAAAAAAGCACATAAGCATTTTAGCGGGATGTCCCTACCTTCTTGGGCTTCATTATAAGGGGGTTTCTCTGGGATATCCCTATCCTCATTTTTGCTTATGTGCTTTTGTGGGGCCTTAATAAAACAAAAAGCAGGGTTTAGGGTTTGGGGTTTAGGGGTTTAGGGTTTAGGGGTTTAGGGTTTAGGGGAAAAGCAGGACAAGGCACAGGGTCCGCTGTTCCCGGCCCTCCAGAGCTTGGTCTGCGGGCCCTTCACCGGCCTCGACTCAGGCAAGTACTTGGAGGATCATGGGACTTAGTAACTAGGGCTCCTTAAAGGGATCCTTAAAGGGATCTAGAGGGTTCCTTAATGGGATCCATAGGGTTTAGGGTTTAGGGTCTACTTAGAGGATCATGGGACTTAGTATCTAGGGTGATAATTAAGGTAACCATACTTAAAACTACTTATAACCCCACTTAAGGTAATTATAACCTTACTTGCTAAGTCCCATGACCCTCCAAGTATCCCCCATTTAGGTACTTAGGACCCTTTGGACCTGCAGGTCCACGTGCTCATAGAGGAAGGAGGCCGCCGAGTGAGCACTGACGGCCATGTTCAGGAGCAAGGCGAACCTGAAAGTGGGCTCCCCGCAGAGCCCTTGATTGAGGGATACATACCTTAAGAGATAGGGGCCTGGTTCTTAGCATGTAAGGCTTCATTGTTTGTACTCCTTGATTAAAGGGTATTGGGCTCTCCGGGTCCTCAAAGCTAATATACATGTCATAATTTCAATTGCGATTTAAGTTTCCTTTAACCCCGCATCCCAAGCCACAAACAGCTTTCGTAGAATCCTTGCAGCAGGCTGAGGAAGCTTCGAGATTTTGGGAAATCCCATACCCCAGCCCCAAACCCTACAGGTTGCCTAAGCTCCCAAACCCCTTACATATACCCTAAAGTCTACAGAAAGAATCCTCAAATTCCTGTAGAGGCTTCCAAGGGCAAAGACAAACGAAGTATGCATCCTTGAATCCCAGAGACTCCAAAACGCGTAGATTAAGGGAGTTGTCTGCGCGATTACGGTATAGGGTTAAGGTTTGTCACAACAGCGGTGTGAAGCCCAATCTAGTCGAGATTCCTTAAAGCATGATGAGAAGCACTCTACAACCTAAGGAGTATATATATATATATATATATGCTACCCCCCCCCCCCCCCAAAGACCAAGGTTTTCAGATAAGAGCATTGGTGGGTGCTCCCATTAAATGTAGAATTCTAATGCTATTCTGGAAGAGTACTGAAATAATGTTTTTGTTGGTAGTGGTTTTTGTCTTTGGTGGTATTGTTTTTTTTGTTTTTGTTGGTATTGTGTTTTTGGTTTTCTCGCCTAGAGCCATTCTAAGCGCGATCACGACCAAAAGGTTTTCCATTCAAGTGCCATATTCTGTTGACGGCTTACTTCGTATGGAAAACTCGCCCCATGCCGTGTGCTTTATTAGCTTCAGTTGCAGTATGTGGTCAACCCCACAAACACATTTATTCTTATACTATTGGTTTTAAGAAATCAAGCTACTTGTAACGTTTAAAAACACCTACCAAGCATAGTACCTCGATGCCATCGTTTAGTGTGTACCATTTATTGTATGCGTAAAGAAAAGGTGATTATAGAATTGAACTTCCGGGGTTTGTTAATTACTACAGATGTGGCCCTACAAAGACATGTATTCTTAGACTACATGTTTGAGATATCAAGCATATAGTCTTATAGTTTAAACATGACTATTAAGTATAAGACCTCGGTGTTACCATTTAGCATGCACCATTTCATTCTTGGAAAAATAAGGTTAAGTACTCAGCAATTGATTCCACAATCGAATTTACAGGGTCTGTTAACTGCTAATTGCTAATAATATGGCTTGAGATTCCTTGTTGCGATTTACCCAGATAGCTGCTTAATAGAAGCAGTATAGTAGAACCTTGGAAGCTACACCTTTGAATAGGAGCCAAACAGCCTGTTCATGAAGTGCTTTGCCAGTTAACACGAACAGACAGAAAGCTATATTTATAATGCCTCATATGATATCACTACACCCAGGGATTGTGACATACTTATACGGATTACTGACTGCAGAAACATTATTTTTGTGTATGTTGGTAATTAGATGATTGGGTAGATTGAATTGAATCCTCGGATCAATTCAAGGATAGGGCTTGCTGAGCTAACAATCGTCAGATTTAAATATAAGAATAGCATAGAGGGTTTGTTGTCTGCCGATTAGAACTCAGAAAGCAGTATATTCACAGTAGTGCCTGTAGAGCCTGTAGGGACAACGTTGTACTTATATGAAGATGTAGCTTAGTATATAGCTGTAGGATATTACGCAAACAGCTGGATAGGCCAGATCCTCGGACCTATTTAGGCGGAGTGTTTATTACTTATGTCAAATCAGTTCTAAGTATTATAATAATACGGTGCATTTAGTAATTAGTAATTAGTCTTTCCAATAATTGAATCGAACATATACATTCATGCATAGATTGCTAGCTACATGGACGTTAAAGTATGTGCTTTTGATACCTCAGTAGTATTCTGTTCGATAGATTGAGCCCTCGACTATAGTCTTAGTATTCCAACTGCATTTGTTGCATTAAACTAGTAGTGTTATCTGAATTTAAGCTGAGCGAAATTCAAAAGAATACGTTTAGGGAAGCCTAAAGGTAGTATCATACGTCTAGTTGATGACTTTCTTTTCATAGCCCTTAAAACCCATCTGCGTGTACTCCAAAAGTACGCAAACGCAGCGGCAGACTTTGACCCCTGAACCCAATTTTCACACTTCCACGTACGGCGCTCATGATCGATTTCAACATAAACCCTATTGAGTTCAATAGGGCACATTGAACTCAATAGGCCTCCCGGATTGAAGATTGAAGATCTCCCAGGAAACTTTTCGAGGGCATCTTCAATCTTCAATCCAGAAGGCCTATTGAATTCAATAGGGCCTATTGAATTCAATAGGCCTCCTGGAATGTGCGACAAGAGATGGTATAAGGATTATTGTATGCAAGCTTGTATGAAAATCACAAGGGGGTTGTGTCATGCATGTTTGTCAATACACCTTAACAGGGTTGTTATTGGCACCCTGCCCCCCAAAGACCAACGACTATCGGCTAGTGTAAGTAGGCTTGTATCTACAGCTCATATAGAAAACCTTGGTCTTTGGGGGGGGGGGGGTACCATATATATATATATATATGGTAACCCCCCCCCCAGGACCAACCTCGGCCATTGTCCTGCTCATTACTGTCTTCACAGCGTCATGAATAAGAGCCGAAACCACTGTAAATACCGATGGTGTTTGTGTTCCCGTACAAAGTTTGCACTCTCGACGCCTCTTGACAGACTGGTAAAAAACAGGGTCCAGTTTTATGGACACCATTTACACTCTCGGCGCGTCTTGTCGGAGTGGTAAAAGACAGAGTCCAGTTTGTGTGCCTCATCCTTTATTAATTATTGTCATCTTGTCAAAGTCTTATTATTAGTTTCAGTCTTAAAAAACAGTGTTAACATTGGTCTTGACTTAATTTTGTTCTAAGTTTTAACCTCAACTATTGTGAGTAGTAACCTTAATATTTTTGCTAGCGTTAGCATTATTATTAGTTTTGTGTCATTACTAATTTTAGAAGTTCTAACAATGCTGCTGGTATCTGTCCAATATTACTGTTCGTTTGATTAGTGTTCCTGTTAGTGCTGATGCTGGTGTCAGTGTCAACGTCAGTGTTAGTCTTAATATTAATATGAGTATTAGTGCTCCAGTTTAATTTAATATATGTCTATAGCAGTGTTAGTGTTAGTGTTCGTGTTAGTATTCGTATTAATATTAGACGTGGGCTGGGCTTTAAAAACTTAGTCTTAGTACATTATGTGTATAAGTATTCATATGTGTATATTCAGTATATTGGTATATAAACAAAACATATATATTAATAAAAAATTTTTTGGGTATACTCGTATATTGGTATATTAGTAACAATGGTCTATTGGTATATCAGTTTCTCAGTATATTAGTATATTAATTTATTAGTATATTAGTATAATACTATGACCGTACATATTGGTAAATGAAAACATTGAGTTTTTAACAATCTGATGCATTCATTTCCTTGTGCCTTATTCTGATGTATTCTTTAGTATACATTACAAAAACGATATTGACATTAATATGATGTTTGTAAATTCATATTGGTATTGATATTAACATGAGTTGTCATCTTGTCAAAGTCTTATTATTAGTTTCAGTCTTAAAAAACAGTGTTAACATTGGTCTTGACTTAATTTTGTTCTAAGTTTGAACCTCAATTATTGTGAGCAGTAACCTTAATATTTTTGCTAGCGTTAGCATTATTATTAGTTTTGTGTCATTACTAATTTTAGAAGTTCTAACAATGCTGCTGGTATCTGTCCAATATTACTGTTCGTTTGATTAGTGTTCCTGTTAGTGCTGATGCTGGTGTCAGTGTCAACGTCAGTGTTAGTCTTAATATTAATATGAGTATTAGTGCTCCAGTTTAATTTAATATATGTCTATAGCAGTGTTAGTGTTAGTGTTGTGTTAGTATTCGTATTAATATTAGACGTGGGCTGGGCTTTAAAAACTTAGTCTTAGTACATTATGTGTATAAGTATTCATATGTGTATATTCAGTATATTGGTATATAAACAAAACATATATATATTAATAAAAAATTTTTGGGTATACTCGTATATTGGTATATTAGTAACAATGGTCTATTGGTATAGTATAATACTATAACCATACATACTGGTAAATGAAAACATTGAGTTTTTAACAATCTGATGCATTCATTTCCTTGTGCCTTATTCTGATGTATTTTTTAGTATACATTACGAAAACGATATTGACATTCATATGATGTTTGTAAATTCATATTGGTATTGATATTAATATTAGTATGTAATAATCTTTCTATATTTGTATGAGCACAAAAAGTTTTGCTAGTATTATGCATGTTCGTACTAGCCGAAGTATTAGTGCTCATATTAATATCAATATGGTTCTAAAGAGACTATTAATGTCGGTATTCGTACTGAGAATAATTTTGTTAAGAACATGAGCATAAATACCCGTAGGAATATTCATACCTATGCTTGTATTGGTATTAATACTCGTATTAGCATGAGTACTAGCATTAGTACGTATCTAGGCATGACGATTCTTATATGAATATAAAAGGGGAACATGATTATTAGTATTCGTAAGAACATTAGTTTTCCTATACATTAATGCTAACTAATATTACTATGCATATTAGTATTGGCAAGAACATTAAAGTTCGTGTTCACATCAATTCTAAAATTGGTATTAGTACAGTTTTTTCAATATTAGGAGTAGATACTAGTAGTAGAATTAAAATTAGTATGAACAAAACATGCGTTGGTATTCGTCGGAATATGAAACTTGAGGTTACACTTCGTATGAGTTACTAGTACTACTGAAAAACATACCAATGCTGATATTAATACGAATGCTAACATTCATGTATGAGCATGTTATTATGCACGTTCGCACTAGCCTTACCCTGGGGCTCCAAAGCCTGCTTATTTGAAAGCTTTTG